TGAGCCATTTCTGTTTTCACAAGGTTGCAGTCTATTCAAAACAAAACAGGTTGCATTCACAATATCAAGATGCACAACTAGCATTTGGTCTGTCGTGCTTTTTATGTTATCTGGCAAAAGCTCGTGTGAATTTACAAAGATACAGCTTTTATAGAACTCTTTGTGTGAGTCTTCTCACATTTGTATTTCCTTTTCAGTGCTCAGGAAACTGATAGCTAAGAGGAAGAATGTGTTGGGAAAGCTGGAGAGACGAGGTATCTTCAAAGAGTATACTGACTTTTCAGCACGAACAGATGCTCCTTTGTCTAGAATTGGGTTTTCCCCAGACAACCATTCTGACTGCTATGTGGTAAAAAACTTCTATCTTAACACCTTTGCAGGTAAGGCATTTTGGACCATTTAGTTGTGTGAGATATTGACTTGAGATATTAACAAAACTCAAGTTTCTCTTCCCACCACTCCATTACTTCGTCACTGTTTGTATTTTTAGGACTGTGTGAGCTGGAAGCATCTCTCCCACGTTCTGTCACTCAGGTCAAGATTAAAGCTCCAAAACCTAATCGGCTAACCAAAAGTGGCTTTCTTAGAAGATCAGCAAGGCTAGAGATGGACCTGGCACTAGTTCACCAGGTATGGAGCTGCATCCAGCAGCATGTCAGTTCCTCTTAGTCCCTCTGGAGCAAAGGGATGCTGTCCAGAGGGACCTTGACAGGCTGGAGAGGTGGGCTGATGCCAACCTCATGGAGTCCAACAAAGTGAAGTGCAAGGTCCGACACCTGGGTCAGGGCAATCCCAGACACACCTACAGGCTGGGCAGAGAAGTCACTGAGAACAGCCCTGGGAGAAGGACTTGGGGGTGGTTGTTGGTGAAAAACTCAGCATGAGCTATAGTGTGCACTCGCAGCCCAGTAACCATGTCCTGGCTGCATCCAAAGGAATGTGGCCAGCGGGTCAAAGGAGGCAATTCTCCCCCTCTACTCTGCTCTTGTAAGCACCCATCTGTTCCCACGTTCTGTCACTCAGGTCAAGATTAAAGCTCCAAAACCTAATCGGCTAACCAAAAGTGGCTTTCTTAGAAGATCAGCAAGGCTAGAGATGGACCTGGCACTAGTTCACCAGGTATGGAGCTGCATCCAGCAGCATGTCAGTTCCTCTTAGTCCCTCTGGAGCAAAGGGATGCTGTCCAGAGGGACCTTGACAGGCTGGAGAGGTGGGCTGATGCCAACCTCATGGAGTCCAACAAAGTGAAGTGCAAGGTCCGACACCTGGGTCAGGGCAATCCCAGACACACCTACAGGCTGGGCAGAGAAGTCACTGAGAACAGCCCTGGGAGAAGGACTTGGGGGTGGTTGTTGGTGAAAAACTCAGCATGAGCTATAGTGTGCACTCGCAGCCCAGTAACCATGTCCTGGCTGCATCCAAAGGAATGTGGCCAGCAGGTCAAAGGAGGCAATTCTCCCCCTCTACTCTGCTCTTGTAAGAACCCATCTGGACTACTGCATATGGTTCTGGTGTCCCCAACATGAGGACCATGGAGCTGTTGGATCAAGTCCCGAAGAGACCACAAAGCTAGTAAGAGGCCTGGAGCACCTTCCCTACAAAGACAGGCTGAGAACATTGGGGCTGTTCAGTCTGGAGAAGAGAAGGTTGCATGGGGACCTCATAGCAACCTTCCAGTATCTGAAGAGGCTACAGGGAAGCTGGAGAGGGACTCTGTTAGGAACTGTGTTGGTAGGACAAGTAGTAATGGATACAAATTGGAAGAGGGGAAATTTAGATTAGATATTAGGAAGAAGTTTTTTAATGTGAGGCTGGTTAAGACACTGGAACAGGTTGGCCCAGGGAGGTTGTGGATGCCCCAACCCTGGCAGTGTTCAAAATCAGGTTTGAATAAAGCCTTGAGCTTTATTCAGTTCTAGTGGGAGGTGTCCCTGCCTGGGGCAGCAGGCGTTGGGAGATGATCTGTAAGGTCCATTCCAATCCCTTAACATTCTATGATTCTATGATTTGAACTGCTGATAAATGCAACTGGGAAGACGTGTGTAAGTTTTCTCCCAATTCCCTGTGCTAAATTCATATTGTCTGTAAGACAGCTTCAAGGACAGAATGAGTGCAACATGCAGAATGTTGTAGACATGACCAGTAGTGCTTTGGAACGTAGGCTGTCAGTACTGTCACTCTCCCATACCTGTGCTTCTGCTGCAATCCTATAGAAAACAATCATAGCTGCTTCTGTCTTGCTGCAGATCAGGTATTTGGATTGGAACATATTACATCAATTTTAAATTCTTGCCTGCCATTTCCTTATTCTCATTTCTCCCTTGCCTTTATAATACACGAGTGGCAAAGCTATTATTGCTTACACTGCCGAACTACTAATAATTAAAGAAAGCTAATCTGGATTAATAATTCTAAAAATCCCATACATTTAAAAAATGTACTTTTTAAATACATATGGTAAAAACATGTGCAGCAAAGTGTGATTAAAATGACCCACTCATAAAATCAGATCAGAATGGTGGATGCACATCACTGGTGCTCCCTAAGAGTAGCATCTGATTTGCAAACATGCCAAGAGCATTTCACATATCTTAATGTATCACAACTGTCCAGGCAGATGAGGTGTCCATATATGCAATTAACTACTGAGGAAAGAAGTGGCTCATTTGCATGCACAATCACAATATTTGTAAATTACATGTACTCTTGAGTATGCTTCTTGTGATGCTGTTGAGGGTTACCTTTTTGTAAAAACAGGCATATTCCTGTCTGGCTGCTCTTATCGCTGAAAAATAGTGGCTCTCATTTGTAAAGCTTGGCAAGTTTCACTTTTATATATATACATATATATATGTATAGCTCTTTTGCTTTAGTGTAATTTAATAATACTTTCAAAGCAGAGAGTGAACTGCTACTAGTGAATTTTACATTGAAATCTTGTCCTGAAAAATCAATCATATTATCTCAAATTCTGCTGGATCTTGTAAAAGATGAAATATTGCATCTCAGTATTATCCAGACAGAAGATTTTCAAAGAAAATCTAGAGTGCTACAGGAGTTATTCCAGAAATAAGGACAGAATTCATAGTTTCAGAGACACATCAGTATTGAAGGGGTTTGAGTTTGGGTGGGTTTTGCATAAAATGCAGGTAGTGATTGTGTAACCTGGATCATAACACAGTTCTCATAGGCAGCAGAATGTTAGGCCAAGTTTTCAGAGCTGAATTCCATTTACAACAATTGCATTCTGTTTGTTCAAAATACTTCTCATGGTTTCAAGGACTGCAGCGAAGCATCTAAACTGTAGTCACAGAGAAGTATGCCCTAATGCTGACTGCTCACACAATAATGTCTCTTCAAAGAAAAATTGGTGGCCAAGGGATAATGGAATGCAGAACAAATGCAGAGAATTTTGCACATTTTCTTTCTTCAATCAATGTAGGTCACATGCTTTCTAGCAAATGAGAAGCTAGCATAAGTAATACTCATTTCCCCACCAGAAAAAGGCAAAATGTGTATTCTTTTAAAATCACAAAGTGTTTCCCTTGCAGACAAAAATTATAAATCCATTATGCAAATTTGACTGCTGCTTTTAGGTATACGGGAGTAGACACCAAACTGGCTGGTCAGACAAGCACAAAGTACTGACACTGTGAAATAACCAGACTGCCTAAGCCACTGTCAGATTTAAACAAACTTTCTGTTCAGAGCAACTGCCCTAATTAGCATTTGAGCCCTGTGTCACTGTTACTGGTCACTTCTCTCTTCAGAGGCCTTTTAAGTTTGGTGGCTCCGTATGTTCTGACTTGGCAGGATCCCTCTGACAGGTCCACCTCATGAGCTACTGGAGCTGTGAAAAATAGGGCAGTAAAGAGTGCAGAGTTTGTGCATTAACAGAATTTAGAGAGAGAGAATCTTCCCTGAGAGGATAGCTGTCTGACCACTTGGCATAAGCAGTCCCAATTGTGCCAACAAATCTCCATCACACACAGTATGAAAAAAGTTTAAAGCAGGCAATGAGGGTTCTTAAAAGGGTACTGTGTTGCTTTGCTTTATTTCTATAGCTGAGCAGCTAGACCAGTTTTCTATTCAAAAGCCTCATTTCAGTGCTCTTCTAACACACTTCATCTATAATTATTTACCCATAATCCTAGAAATAATGCAGAACTCTAGAAAATTCAGAGAGTACACAGTGATCTAGCCCTAGAATGAGTTTCTTTAACTTTCCCTGGATAATCAATCTGTGGAAGCAGGTGACAAATAGAGGAGGAATGCTTGATTTTGGCTTCAGAAGTAATGAGTCTTAATAAAGGACGTTTCCAAGACTTGCTTCTCTGGCCAAACAAGTGGAAAGATGGACTAGTCCTCCTCATTATGTTCCTTTTAGTTTGCCATATTGAGGGTATTCCTAAGCTTAAAGCTTGTAAGAAGGGATAAGCAATTATCCAAGGAACTACAAAAAGGATGTGTGTCCTCTTGAGAATAAGAACAGCTTCTTCCAGATGTGAAACTAAGCCCAAAAAAAGTAATTTCAGAAGCAGGCTTTTTGAGCACCATGCTGAAACCTTTTCTGTGAGTATTGTGTACACTCAGTAGTCTTTGAATAATTCTCTAAAAGAAGAGAACATGGCAGAAACTGGAGTAACCCAAGATTTACAGTAAAAACAACAATCTGTATCTTAAGCCAGATCTGTAAGAGGACAAGGAAAGCTAGTCCCTAGCCAGCACAGATGACAGTGCTTTAAGGAATGTAAGTGAGCCATTACATAGACAGCTTTGTGTGAAAATCCAAGACATTAAGGAGATAGCACACAGTTATCTCCTTACATATATATATATATATATCTCCTATATACAGCTAACTACTATAGGAAATAAATGAAACTAAGTAAGTGGATACACCAAGGAATGGAGGAGATGCTAGAAGACATCCCAGTGCAGAACAATATGTGGCTTAAGGCTGACCCTCAATGCTCTGGTGACTCAAGAGAGATGAGTGTCAGGTGGTTTCAGTGTTGGATCAAGATGAGGTCAGAATGAAAAACCTCTCACCTCGGCATTAAGTGCAACTCTGACCATGTCTGTTTTCCTTTATCCAGTTGCTGGAAGGAGGTAGAGAAGTAGGGGGGCCAAGAATGTCTCAGGAGTAAGTCTCTGCCAACTTCAAAGCATAGGAAAACCTGTTTAAACAGTTATTTCTTTAAGAACAGATCTCCAACACACTGTTAGTTGGCTTATGCTCAGACAAGCTCTAAGAGCTATTATGTCAGTCTTGATCAGCCAAGCTGCAGCAGCCATGCTGCACTGCAGAGCAGGTAGGCAGTCCATCTTTGATGATCTGTAAGGTCCATTCCAACCCCTAAAATTTCTATGATTCTATGATCCCACTTTTGTCATCTGCAAACAAAAAGGAGAAACAAAGCTGTATATTCTGTATGGTACATGAAAAGTGTCTTGTGATAAGGAGAGGATCAGCGAGAAGATAAGGGAGGAATCTAAAGAATGATTTCTTTGAATAGAGAGTTGTTTCTTAAGCCACTATCCTGTCAAGAGTTCTGCTTCTATTAGAAGCTAGCTTAGAAGCTGAGGTGTACAGCCAAAAGCATGAGTGCCATTTGCTGTCTCTGTGTTTTCCAGAAAAATGAAAAGATTAATTGCATGATCCTTCACTATCCAATCCAATGAGATTATACCTTGACTCTGAACCTACTACCTGAGAAACATAATGTAGTCAATCTAAGAAAAATTAGAGTGTGGTACTTTGGCAGTAACATTTAGAGTATGTTATTCAGAAATTAGCAGTTTTGTCTTGTTAGTGAAAGTATTTTTACAGTGATTCTTGGGCTCTGGTTTCTCTATTTCCAAAAGTCATAAGTTAGGCAGAACCAGTTAATGCAAAAAAACCCTGTATTTTCTTTTTCTTTTCTTACATTAAAGTCTTAAAACAATTCTCAGATTAGAGAAACCAAACAGTAAGCATTTTTAACTTAGTAAAGGTAGCAAAGCAGGCGCTAGACTCTGCTGACGTGAAAACATAACCCCATTTCTGGGAACTGCAATATATCTCAAATCTGCATTAATAAGAATTCCTCTTGTCAGAAGTGCTCATAGATTCTCTGTCTTTAAAAGTTGTTATTCTGGTTGTGTTTTGTTATTCTGGTTAGCAAGAAATGTTTTTGGAGGCCACAGTTTTATGAGAAAACTTCTTATGAATGTGAGATTGTACTAATAAACATAAGAACCATTGTTTTCAAAAGAATCACAATCAAGATTGTACTAATAAACATAGGAACCATTGTTTTCAAAAGAATCACAATTACAGCAGCTTTTTCTTTCTGTTTCCCTCACCCTGCCATGCAAATCACCTTATAAATCATAGCTAGCACTGTTATAATCTTCATGCCAGAGAGCTCTAAGGTCATCACATACAAAAAGCAGTTCAGAAAATCTCCCAACGTTTTTGAGCTGTAACCATTTCACATGGCTTAAAAGCAGTTTATAGGCTTTGATTCTTGCATTATTAACATGGGCCATTTTAAGAAGCTTTCAATAATAAAGCATTTTATCCCTTCCACCTAGAAACCTCTCTCCTTTTCTGGAGCAATTCATTAATCCAGACCTGAAACATCTGATTCAGTATGCAAGAAGGGTTTTGTACAATGACCACCGCAGTTTCAAAACTTCATTAATTTAGCAATTAAATTCTGTGCAAGTGCCATCAATTTCCTGTTACTGGAGAGGGAAATTTAGCATGGAATTTTTTCCTCAAGTTCTTCTTTGGTTTCCCTCCCAAGTGAAATACTGTATTGGAACATTTGAAAGAGAGAGAGGGCAAGAAAATGAAAATGCATACTTTCCCTTGCTGGAATATGCCTGTTCTTTCAGTAATAAAAACTACAGATCCAACCCATACAGTAATAGGATTATAATTTTGAAGGAGCTTTAAATGTTTCCTTTTCTTAGAAAGGCAAAGTGTGATGTCCTTCAGCAGGCAAGCATTGCCATGAAGTTGGAAATGATTACCTGAATATCTTGTTCTAAGTGGCTTGTGACAGGAAGTTGGCAGGACTTTGGCTCTTTAAACAGTTTGAAAACGTCTTGAAAGAGCTGAGGCTGTGGTGGCACTTCCACTCCTGGCCTGCTTCAGCTGACAAGATGTGACATCTGCCACCTAACAGCTGCAAGCAAGATAGAGCACACGCTTAGTGGACTTGTGGATTTTCTTGGTAGAAGGAAGATTTTGGGCAAGTTAGTTGTTCGTTTGCCCTGAGTCCACTTGCATGGTGCTGTGGGTGCCACTGGGCTGCTGAGCAGCTGTAGATGAGCAGAGAAGAGTTTCAAAACATATTTAGCAGGGAAGGGGTCCAGAGTCATTTGGTTCAACCCTGTGCAGTAATAGCATGTCATGCAGAGCCATTTCTCCGAGGAAGGACCACAGAAGTGTGACAATACACTCTGCAAGTGAGCCCTTTCATAACATCTCCTGACTGCATGACATTTTTAACCCACAGCAACAAGCATTATACTGATAGTTAAAGGCAAAGACTTACAAGCATTCTTAGTGAATTAATTATTAGAGAATTAGAAATGAAGTTCATACTAACTTTAGATTAATTTCAGGTAACTCACCCTATACAATTACTGATAACTCACTAGTAAATACAGTACAATAACTCTTGCTTCCTTCTTATGTATGATTTTGAAGTTCCCATCATATCTTCTGACCAACCAGTATTCTCATCTACTGACCATATTCAGTTTTTCTGTTCACGTGCAGTAAGAAATAGAAGCCACAAGACTGCAAAGCTTTCAGCTCCCTGTCATCTCTGTGATCAGCAACAGTCACCATCTAGGGGATTGGTCCTGTTATGTTGTTCTATCTAGCCCAGTTCTGATTAAATTGTATGTCTATTGCAGGCACTACTGGAGAAGAAGAACAAAATCAAGGAGCCAGAGAAGCCCCTCCCTTCCTGTAAAAAAGAGGAAAAGCCTGTTCCTCAGCCACCCATTCCAGTCCTGGAAAAACCATCAATTGTAAGTGGCCTGGTTTTAGCACTTTTTTCCCCTCTTGATTCCTGATTGTTTCCTACTCCGCTGTTAAAGGAATTCCCAGAGACGAAAAGAAGGGTGCTTTATCTTTTTTTTCTGTGTATTCATGTTAAAAATAGCCATCATTATTTCTTAAGACTCTCTTGGTCTCTCTTTATTCTATAAAGATACTAGCAGCCAAAGACTTGAAAACATTTTACAGTATCTGTTGGCCAAATCCTTAAGTAAACTTTATTTTATAAAGACATAAATTACAAGACATGTTATTCCCTTGTTCTTGGGGAAGAAAAGGCATCATCATCATCATAGTTCTGTATTAGTATTAGTAGTATTCAGTAGCCATAGTTGTGTATTAGTATTAGTAGTATTCAGTAGCTTCCAAGCTTCTGAGCTGACAGTGCTATTGTAGCCAGTGAGGCAGTGAAGTTTAGTCACAGTGAAGTCAGTGAGACTATGGGTGCTCAGCACTGAGCATGCATGTCATTAATTTGCTAGAGCAAAGCTCTTGTCATCATGCAGGATGCAGAGTTTGATGAGCATGCTCCAGTTCACAGATAATGATTCTTCTGCAGAGATTGAAATAGCAGTAATGATGTGTCATGGGGGATGTGATATGCTGTAGGAAAAAATGACTTTTTAGGGGAGCTGCAACTTCTTTTCCCTTCTTAAAGTAGCGTACTTAAGAGGTGGTTGCCCCAGTGGATTGCTTTGTCTTCTTATTAACACTCTTTTCATGATTTACTAAGGTTCAGACACAATTAACATTTAAGCTTGTGAATTAAAAAGAGTCACACAACCATGAAAGTGAGAGAGAAAGTCTTATTAGATCATCCATGATATCTTCCTCTGTGCAGTAGGATCCTCTGTGTTTTATACAGTCTATTTTAAGATGACTGAAACAAGAATTTCTTATCTCCTTTGGAAGAGCTTTCCACAGCTTTACCACCTCTTAGGTATTAGAGATTGCATTGCAGTGGAACATTTACATTATTTAGGTCTACCAGTTTAGCAGGTTTTTAAGTACTTGGAGGTGACATGGAAAGAAATCAGAAAGGTTTATCTACCAGTTGTAATAATTCTTGAGCATATTTACAGATACATTTTTTGAGGATTCAAATACAATAGAATTCCACCTACATGAATTCTGTCAACATTTGGTTTATTTTCGAGTATCTGTATGTGTGAATGTGTAAAAAATGGAGCTCTCCAGTTAAGCTCCATCTGTAAAATCAGGCCATTTGAGCCACTGAAGAGCACTGAAAGCAAAGCTCTTCTCTGTAGTTAATGCTTCTCTTCCTGCCACACACACATATGACTACCAACTGCTAAGTGCTTCCCACTGGAGTTGAGGATCTCAAAAAGGAACTGTGCCAGAGTGACATGGACCACAAGGGATGTAAAAGAAAGTGGAGAGAATGGAGGCACTACTGAAGGCCTCCTTAGCTTCTCTCCCAATCATTTCTAATGCACGTAGTAACCACAGCAAGCTCACAGAGCACCTGTGAACTCCTCCATTAGTTTGTCACTTTCTTCCAACCCCCTCTAGTTTTCAGCCTGCTCCTAGCTTCTTCTATATCCTTAATAACTAGGGTTTTTTTCTGCAGGGCATAGTAGGCTTTCCATCTTCCCTCATTCTTTCCTGCTGGTCTGTAGTAGGCAGATGGACAAGCTGACGATTACACTTGCTAAGGCTTTATTTGCAGCACTGAACAGCAGAAGTACAGAAAAAATGCTTCTCACAGAAATTTAACCCAAATCTTAGTTTAAATCAAACCAAGCAGTTTGGCTTACCTGTCCAGTATATGTACCATCTCCATTCTCAAAACTCTGTCCTGAAGGGATTTCACACTGTAGCCAGGTGATGTGGTACAGTTTAGCTCTCTAACTGGACTGGAAATTCATCCCTTCTTTCCAGAGAAAAAGAACATACCAAATCATAAGGCAGTCCTTTGGCTAGTTCTGCTTTGCTTCTACTGGGTGGTGGTGTGGAAAGGCAGG